CACAATGGGACATAGACGGGGCCGCATCACCAAAAGTCACCATTTGATGAACCTGGAGGAGGCTGTAGAGGAAGGACCTATGGCTGTCTACATGTCACGCCCATCCTTTTGCAAAGAACACAGTGGAGAGATGCTCAAGCTCTTTTGTGAGACATGCGACAAAGCTGTATGCAGTGATTGCACAGTTGTTAAGCATCAGGGTCACAAATTTATTTCTGTGATTGATGCATTTGGAAATGGAAAAAACGATGTGAGGAAAATTCTCTCAAAAACAAAAGCTCAAGTATCCACCCTCAAGGATGCCCTGGACTGTATTTCAGCAATGAAGAGAAGCATCGAGTCTCAAGTAGAAAAAACTGTTCAAGAGATTGGAGAACGATTTCAGGACTTGACTGTTAGTCTTAACACTCGTCAGGAGGAACTGGTAAATGGAGTACAAGAGCTCAAGAAAGCAAAACTAAACACTTTGCAAAATCAGCAAGAAGAATTGAAATTGGCAAATTGGCCCTAGACATTGTGCAAAGTGGTGTTGGGTTCACAGAGAAAACTATCAAACATGGTAGTGATGTTGAAATTTTGAACTTGCGCAAACAAATACGCAAAAGATTACAAGAACTGAATTCAACTATTTGGCACCTAGAACCCTGTACTGATGATGCTATCAAGTTTATAGTTGAAAAAGAACTGAAAGAAGAAGTTTCCACCTTTGGTGTCATCACAGATGTCATGACCAATGCTGAGGCATCAACAATAATGATGGGTCATGGTTCAGAGGGCATAATCTACAGTACACTGTGTAGACAGCCTGTTCAGTTCACCATAATTGCCAAGGAATGGAATGGAACAAAGCGAATAGAAGGAGGTGATCCTTTCACAGCTTCTTGCGACACTGGTGCTGGTGTTAAAGCCCTTGAGGTGAAGGACTGTGGAGATGGTACCTATATTTTCTCATACACTCCTGAACAAGAGGGTCGATATAAATTGGTTGTGCAGCTGCTGGGTCGTGATGTGGGTGGAAGTCCATTCACTTGGTCCGTAAAAAAATGGCGTCTTCTATGCATTTCAGGAAGCTCTCAAGGTGAAGTGCTATTGTCTGAAGAAAATCTGACTGCTCAATACACGTTGCAGTCAGCCGTAATGTCCTCTGTCTGGAAAGCATACCCTAATGCTTCAAGTTTCACATCTGGTCAAAAGTTTACTGCTTCAAATTCACCATTTGGCAGTACCAGTACTAGTGCTGCAAGCTTGCTGTCAAATGGCATTTCCCAAAGCACCAAAACCTCACACAGCAGTGAAGGCACTGTTCGGCCCTTTGGTGCAAACAATTGGCATTATGTGGTGAGTTCTATTTCATTCAACAATGGCAAACATTCATGCAAAGCTAAACTAATTGGCAATATTAAAGAAGGTTTTAGCTTTGGGGTCATCAGTACGTGTAGAGGATCACATGGCAAGCTGGCCAGTCTGGGTAACTGGTGGGTGTGGAATTCCAAACAAATGAAGCACCTCCTGCTCTCAAGCAACATGCATGTTAAGAACAGCACTATTACAGACTTTGAGAGCAATGATATTGTAGAAATGTACCTGGACTGTGACAAAGGAACACTTATTATATACAATCAACGTACCAAAGAGTCAGACATTTGGCATGGCATTGCTGGAGATACTTGTCCAGTGTTTCACATGACCAGCCATGGAGACCAGGTTTCTCTATTACTTTAGAGGGCTCAAAATTGATTTGAACAGACAAAATTTTTACCAATTTAGATCTGAGACAAATTTTAAGAGTAATCTTGGATTGCATTCATTTTGTAATACTTTAACTCAATCGCTGGGTTAAATGCATGGAGGCCTAAAACATGCATCAGTGGCATGCCAACCTTTTCCAAGCCTCTGGCATTCTCCTTGATGTTTACACCTTTTTGACTTTTTAATATAATGACAATTTTCTTCACTGTTTTGATTTGCTTTTGTTGAATTACTTAAATTTTGTTTTCCATGCACTGAATCTTTAATTTTGATTGAAAATTACTTCGTATTTAGCTTCGTTCAGAGTTTAGCTGTCTCATACCTTATCCACTGTAGCATTAAAATGTGTCCTATTTAACAATTATTGTTTACTGAAGTGGAGATAAATTATAGCCACAACCTTCACAGACGCTGAGGTGAATAATTGTTTTAGTATACTAGTATCTGTAACATAAAAACCAAAAGTATTGTTTATTTCTGTCAACATGATAGTTGGAAATTAATTAAACTCTTAATTGACATAATTTTTATAATTTGCATAATTTGTATAATTTTCTCTCTTACGCTGCTTGGTGGTGAATAGTGCTTGCTCATCAGTTCTTTAGTGGCCAGTATATCAAGCTAGAGAAATTATGCTTCCATCCACCAATAGTTTTAGTTTTTATTCACTGTGCTATGTTTTATTTTTACAATTATTATAGTTTTTCAATTTCTTGTACTTTTTTGTGCAAAATGACTTGAATTTTAAATTATAGCATAACCAAAGTAAAGCGCACACTCTGATTGGTCAATTCAGCATCCACCATTTGCCCATAGGTGTATGGTGCTGACGTGAGCAAATGCAAAGACTAGTTTTCTGTGAACACTTGTTTTTTCTGGTCATGTAAGATTTGGTAAATAAAAGAAAACTCTTTTGCTACTAACAATGTACCGATGTTAGTTGTAAAACAAATGGTAAACGCCACATTGTGTACGCCATTGATTTATGGATGCACTTGCGAGGTCTGCTAATCACTCAAGCAGCTAGAGTTGCTCTTGTCTATTGCCTTGTGAGACACGCTTCTTTTTGCTTAGCAACCTCCTGTCTGCATCCATAACTCAATTAATAAGTGTACATCGTGGTATATACCATTTGCTAAGTGGTAAGATCAGCTTTGACATCTGTGATATAATGGTTTCTAATTGAGTTTATAGCTAGGACCCTATGATTTGTGGGGAAAGCTTATAAAGAAAATATGGTGTTTCCTTTCTTCTCATCCAGTAATTATTAAGGAGTTGTTAAATGGAATAGATCTTTGACATTTATGTTACCAACAGTCCATCTTAAGCATAATGTTTTTATTGAGTATAGTTACAATTATAGGTGATGGTGTAATAAAAAATTGTTTTATGGAAAAAAAGGAAGTGAAAACAGGCCTTACAGATAATGAGAAAAATGTTTAAAGGTATGATAAAATAGTAAGAGTTTTTACTTAAATAAATAAATAATCACCGAGTTGGCCAAGCCACACATTCACAACACTTTTTCTTCAATTGATTTATTATTATAAGCAAGGTGGCTCTCCCATAAGCCCAGTGGCTTCTTGGATCTCACCTTCCAGCTGTTATCGCTGTAAATAAATCTTTGTATTGTTGAAATAAGACAAATAAAGATGATGAATTTTGATCCCACAAGTAGCTCAAACTGGCTGGCCATTCTTTTATTTCTTGCTAGCTGATCTATGCCAGCCCAATCCTCTGTGTCGTAATGATTACAAGCTGTGAATGAGATCTGATTTGACATCCTGGTATCTTTGTTGGAGAAAGACAAATCATTTTTTAGACCCCTTTAGAGAGTTTTTGCCAATTCAAACAGATTTTTATGAATTGTAAATTTATATGTAATTCACAAGCTGAACATCAACCTTTTACATTTTCAGATCAGTATGCATATTCTCTATACCGTTCTCTATACATTTCCAAAGGTGCTGACAAAGAGAATTTGTCTCACGATCAAAGTTACTTAGGTTGTCGGTCATTTCCTTTATTCTCAGGATTGTAATGAAT